CCCCAGTTATCCTTTGATAATTTCAACATTTTCTGCTCTCAAGTTTCTAAACAAGGATTCAATGTGTATAAGTTGGAATTATAAATGTATCATTATAATTTTCTATTGTTAATCGCCCTTGTGATCTTGAATTTGTCTTTGATGGTGGTGACCATAGACTCGTAGCCATGGTCAGTGGAGCTTCTAGAAACTGTTTATGAATTTTCACATTCCTTCAAAAAAAAAAAAAAAATCCCATCAAAGAATGTGAGCGAATACTTAGGACCAAGCTTCGAATGGTTATTAATCCAGTGATATTTCTCTTTCTAGTGTTCAAAGATGTTCAAAGTTTGAATTTATTTTCTCCCCTAATAAAAGAAGGAAAGAAAATTTTAAAATAGGCTAATGCAATTTCAAGTAAATATTTGGGCCAGCATGGTAATTTTACAAAGTTAAAGGATGTCCATGTAATTTACGAAAAGTAACGATTTAGTAGTAAGACGCTGGCGGAGAAGAGCAAGGGTTTAACGACTCCTCATAAACCCGCAAATTCTAACAGAGCCTTTGCTTCACTGTCGCCAACTCGCCGCCTGCTACCTACAACGAATCAAAGAGGCTAAAGCTCATGGAAGAAGGCACTTCGTTTTTGTTCGCCGGCGTCAGCTTCAACCGGAAGAAATTCGCCGTCGATTTCTCCAGATTCCAGGTCCGATTCTTCTCTTCTAGAAAACAAAAGTATTTGTATTATTATTTTCTACTCATTTGTTAATTTGAATTTTCAATTTTGATTCAGAAGAAGAAAGAGAGTGAGAAAACGATAGAAGATTTGAGCTTCCTTGAAATTGCAAAACCTGAAGCAGAGCAGGAGGAGGAGGAAGAGGAGGAGCCCGTGGTGCCTGTTAAGAAGAGGAAGCGGAAGGCGGAGGTTTCCGGTAATTTTCGCTTTTGGTGTTGAATTTTTATGCAATTGAAGCCCTAGGATTTGTGCTTATGATTTGTATGGTTTTGTGATGAAAATAGAGCCTGTGGAGGGAATCAGTGTGTTTAAGACCTCAAAATCAGCTAAGGCAGCGAAGAAAGAGATAGAGAAACCTCTCATTGAACGCTCCGAGCAGAAAAAGAAGTTAAATAAGCAACTTGAGGTTCTTGTTCTCTCCCTCAATCTTCTTCCGGATTGCTAATTTCTTTGTGTTCTTAAATTAAAGTTCATGGTTTTTTCCTTTTCTTCATGATTCAGCGTGATTCATTATTGAGAAAGGATCATAACATTCATGTGTCCGGGAATAACATCCCTTCGCCGCTTGAGAATTTTTCGGAATTAAGCTCAAGGTATTCTTGTCTTTTTTCTTTTTCTTTTTGTAGTTTTAAGTATGCCATGCATATATTGTACCATTTTTTGAGCTCAACATCAGAGAATTCTTGTGTAGATGATTTGTTGTTGTGAATGCTGAATACCCTTTCTTGTTTTTAGTTGTTGATCTACTAACCAATATGACTGGAAATGAGAATTAGTCTTGATTATTTACAGATATGGATGTGAGTCATATTTACTTCGCAATTTGGCTGAACTTGGATTTAAAGAACCAACACCAATCCAAAGGCAGACTATTCCAGTCCTCTTATCTGTATGGTCTCTTATTTTATGCTATCCGCTGCTGTTGTGGATTTTACTTTGTTGTTTTTTTAAAAGAAATCACCAGTTGATTATGAAGGCTTTAGTTTCAGCAGAACTTCAGCATGAGTTGACATCTGGTTTTAAAAGATGTTTTTATAATAATTATTGTCTGCACTGATAGCAGTTTTGTCATCATTTTCTATTAGGGCCGGGAATGCTTTGCTTGTGCTCCAACAGGATCTGGAAAAACCCTTGCTTTTGTTTGCCCCATGCTTATGAAACTTAAGGTATTGCTCGTGCATTCAACTGTTTCTGCAAAATGTTGATGCCTTAGTTTCTCTGATGAAAGTTTTCCATATAACCAGCATGCATCTAAGGATGGCATCCGAGCTGTTATTCTCTGCCCTACACGTGAATTAGCTGATCAGACAACCAGAGAGTGCAAAAAGATGGCAAAAGGAAATAAATTCTACATCAAGTTAATGACTAAAGAGCTTGCAAGAAATTCTGATTTTTCAAAAAGACCTTGTGATATACTCATTTCTACTCCACTTCGTTTACGGTTGGCTATCCGGAAAAAAAAGGTTGATTTAAGCAGGTCCGTTTGATGAATTTATTCTTATTTTGTTCATACAAACTCAAAGAGGCTGGTAGAAACAAGAAATCAATGTGTACAATTAATGATTTTGGTGCCAAAATGAGCAAATGAATTTGAAATGAATGACAAGACTAGTTAATCTCAAAAACCATGGATGCATTGTTTTTTTTCCTCATGAGTTTTTTATATGTTGTGCAGGGTTGAGTATCTGGTGTTGGATGAGTCTGATAAGTTATTTGAGCTTGGCTTGTTAAAGCAGATTGATTCTGTGGTCAAAGCATGTTCAAACCCTTCAATAATACGATCCTTGTTTAGTGCTACCTTACCTGATTTCGTTGAAGAGCTTGCACGCACTATAATGCATGATGCTGTTCGAGTTATCATTGGCAGGAAGTAAGTTCGACTTTATATTGTTGAAAATCTTTGAGTGGTTCCATTGACTTACATATTTCTTTGTACGTTTCATACAGAAATACTGCTTCTAAGACTATCAAGCAAAAACTGGTTTTTGCTGGAAGTGAAGAAGGGAAACTTTTAGCACTTCGTCAAAGCTTTGCAGAGGTATGCTTTTATTGTTTGTGCTATTGAGAAAGCTTGGTTATATTCACAACCTTTTCTAAGTAGCAAATAGAGGACCTATTGATTATATGAAATACAGTTTTTTACAAGTCCTCATTGTGTATCAAATAGTATTTTAAAGGGTACTTCGTACAATTGTGTACCTTGTGTTATTTAAATAAGGCCATTATCTGATGTAGGTCCTGCCCTGGAATACACAATTGATAATGGAGTATAAGAGAGGCAATTTTTAAAAATGCTATGGGCTCTAGTGGAATGTCCAAACTAGGAATTTTTTGCAAGATTTAACCAAATATTAGTTACTATGTGTGCACCAATTATCTAAGTTTCCTTAGCATGCTATATATATGTATTAGGCATATATCTTTTGTTAGTATAACACTTCCTGACTTTCAGTTGTATCAATTCAATCTGTTGACCAATTTCTTGTTATTGTTTTATCTTGTTAGTAGAGTCTGAATCCACCAGTGTTGATATTTGTACAAAGCAAGGAGCGAGCTAAGGAACTCTATGGAGAACTGTTGTTTGAGAACATAAGAGTTAGTGCCATACATTCTGATTTGTCGCAAACACAGGTAATTCTATACCATCTGTTTTCAGATGACCAGCCTTAACCCTAATATGGATTACTTATGTCGGCCCCTGTTATAATTTGCATACCATTCCACTCAACATAAGTGTATAATAAATGAAAGAAAATTATTAACTGATGGTCAAACCTGATTAAGCACTTGTTTTTCTGGCCTCATGTAAAAGGCTGGACCTAGATATCTGTGTGCCCTGGTGAGGTTTGTGTGGAATTAAGAAAGAACTTGAATTTTGACGTTGTGTTTCTTACATGTTCTTGTTGCGTTTGAATTCCAATTCCATTACTAGTACTTGGGCCCATGTAATGTTTAGTCATTTATAACTGTATATCATTAGCCCACGTTAATATACTATAGTATTTCTATATACTTGAACAGTAATTTCCATCTCCTTTATGCTAATTCTTGAATGGAATGCAGCGAGAAAATGCTGTTGATGACTTCAGAGCTGGAAAAACATGGGTTTTAATTGCCACTGATGTTATTGCTCGCGGTATGGATTTCAAAGGTGTCAACTGTGTGATTAATTATGACTTTCCAGATTCTGCTGCTGCTTACATTCACAGGATTGGTATGTCTCTCCTTTATCCCATCGAATGTAACCTATGTACATAAATTTGGGAAATGTTAAGCTTATAATGATAAATAATTTATTTTAGACAAGAAATTTATAGAAAATTAATATCATGAATACTTTCTGGAACGTATTGGGAGAAAATTTAGTTGATAATTAGTTTAAAAACCCGTATAACAAATATGATATAGGTTTTGGGGTTTGTTTGATTCGATTTTTTTTGGTTGATTATACCATCAGTACATCATTTGCAGAGTTTATTAATCAAATTGAAGCATTTCTCTTTTTTACTATTTAACTCTGAATTTTATGCATGAATATCTGTTGCCTATGTTTTGCAACTACTCTTTTATTTTAAATGCTTTACGTAGTTACTTGGTCATATTACACTTTTTCCCCCACAGAAGTAGTGCTAGGCTACTTCATGTTATTGAATAAACTAGTTGATTTGGTTTTTGGGGAAATAATTTATGGGGTCATTGAATCTGAGTTTGTAATTTTCCATGAAGGTCGATGTGGAAGAGCAGGGAGGAGTGGAGAAGCTATTACTTTCTACACAGAGGCAGATATTCCATATTTACGGAATATAGCTAATGTGATGTCCGCATCAGGTTGTGAGGTTCCGTCTTGGGCCATGGCCTTGCGCAAACAGAAGTGGAAAAAGCACCGTCCCGGAAGAGAATCAATATCGACTCAACCGAAAGATGAGCAAGAATCTACCAACAAAAAAAAGAAGAAAGATGAGCAAGAATCTACCAACAAAAAAAAGAAAAGAAAGATGAGCAAGAATAGAGCAATTGTCGGAGCTAGGGAGTTATCTTTAGTCGACAGTTCCAAAACATAGATTTCTTGTAAACCAGATTTGCATTTTTTGACTTCGAGGCAACCTTTTGTTATAGATGAATTTCATTGGCAAAACGGATGATGATATTTGTTATTGGCTATTGGAGAGTTGGGGATACTGTTACGGATGATAATGTATAACGATTTTTATTTACAAATTGAAGTTGCAAACAAAATTGATCCATTAAACAAAAGGGTCCATTAATAGTTGCAAACTATTAGATGCTAGTACATCCATTAAACAGTTGTAGAAGAACCAACACAAGTGAGATAGTCAACTCAACCGGGTAAAACAGTGCATGTCCTTGTGGACTTACTACACTGACGGTAATGTACTCACCTGCACACGTCGTCCCCAACCAAGCATCTTTCTGAAGTTCATAGTTTTGAGCTTTGAACTTTGGGAACCAGAAAATCTATCTTATTGATATGCTGCATTTCTCGACTGATGCAATCTTGTATAGACTAGAATTTTCAGATGATCCTGGTATCGCTTTCCTTCGTTTTTGGAAACGCTAGATATAAGTTGACTTCAAGTTTGTTACTTGAAGCCTACGCCTGAAGTGGGTCATAACCATCATCCAGCATCTGCAACCACAACTCTTCTAGCATTGCATATATTTTACCCCTCTCAGGATGCAGATTATCTTCAACAAAAAATACATGGGTCCTATCCTTAACCTCAATCCAGCTCTGACCTGGAACTTTCCTAACATCCCTTTCTCTCATCAAGTTCCTCAATCTGGCAACTTCAACCCAACTTCCAGAAGAAGCATGGATGTTGCAAAGTAACACAAGAGCAGCAGAATTGGAGGGATCTACTTTTAGTATGTTCTCTGCAGCTCGTTTTCCAATCTCAACATTCCCACGGGTTTTGCAGGCAGCTAGTAGAGTCTTCCATACCAAAATATCCGGTTCGAATTCCATTTGCTCGATGAATGCCTCTGCTTCATGTAAGCATCCAGCACGAGCAAGTAAGTCAACCATACAAGAACAGTGCTCTCTTGTAGGTACAATTCCATGTTCGGATTCCATTGTCTTATACAATTGCCTCCCTTCTTCTACCAACCCAATATGACTGCAAGCAGTAAGGACACCCACCATTGTAACTTCATTTGGTTTTATACCCAATCCTTTCATTGTTTTAAAAAGTTCAAGAGCTTCCTCTCCATATCCAAACTGAGCATAACCCACAATCAAACTACTCCACGAGACAACATCTGGATTCTCCATAAAACCGAAGAGATTTTGGGCACTTCCAAGTGATCCACATTTTGTATACATGTCAATCAATCCATTGGTGATAGTAACATCAAGCACAAGGCCACTTTTTACAGTAAAGCAATGAATCTGATTCCCAACCTCTAGAGATGCTATATTTGCGCATGCTCCAATGACATTCTTCAAAGTAATATAATCAGGCTTAATTTCAGAACTACGCATTAACTTCAACAATCTGAAAACTTCTCCAGCCTGGTTGTGTTGCATACATGCGGTAATAATAGCATTCCACGAAACTGAATCAGTGTGGTTTCTTATATCTTCAAACACAATAAACGCATCATAGAGATTTGAGCACTTTGCATACATGGTTAACAAAGCGTTGCACACAATAACAATACCATCAAATGCCCTTTTGATAATGTAGGAGTGAACCTGCCTACCCTGATAGAGTGTTGAAGGGCTTGTGCAAGCAGAAAGTATGGAGAGAACACTAATTTCGTCAGGGACCAGTCCCTTATGCCGCATCTGAGAAAAGAACGATATTGCTTCATTAGCATCTCCACCATTGGAAAACCCAGAAATAATTGCATTCCAAGACACTAAATCAGGCCTCTCTATCTGATAAAATACTGTTCTTGCGGATTCTAAATACCCATATTTTGCATACATGTCACAAAGTGAGCATCCAGCAAAAATATCTCTCCCCAAACCAAATTTTATGCACATCCCATGCATCTGCTTTCCATATTCTGGTTGAAGAAGGCTGCTACACGCACTAAAAGCACTTCCAAATATAAACTCGTTTGGCTGGTAAGCACCCTCACATAGCATCTCTTTGAAATGACCCAAAGATTCTTTGTCATAACCAAGTTGGGAAAACCCAGCAATCATTGAGCCCCAAGAAATTAAGTCCTTTCTTTGAACATGAGAAAATACATCAAAGGCATCTGCAATTAGACCAAACTTTGTGTACATTGAAGTAAGGGCATTCTGTGCAATAGGGTGAGAACCAGTTTCAGATTTAAGAACATGAGCATGCACTTGTCTCCCCAACCATGCATTGCCCATACCAGAGCAAGCTTTTATTATGCTTCCAAACGTGAAGTGGTCAGGCCTGCAACCTGATCTCAGCATTTCAAAATACAATTCAATGGCTTTATCCTCTTGCTTATTCTGTGAGTGCCCAGAAATAAGTGAAGTCCAAGAAACCACATTTCTCTCGGGCATTGCATCGAAAACCTTTCCTGCATCCTTGACTGACCCGCATTTTCCGTACATGTTAAGAACGTGATTGTAAAGAATAATGTCTGGCTCACATTTGGATGCCAAAATATGATCATGGATTTTCCTACCATGGTCAAGAGACCTTAGAAATGAGCAAGCAGAAACCAAATCGGCATAAGTACTGGGAAATATTTGGAAATTGGTGTTCCCTTCCAAAAATTCAAATGCTTGAAGAGCTTCTTTGTAAAGCTTTTGCCTGCACAGGGAGCTTATGTAGTCATTGCTACACTGTTGGTTCTTGAACTTTGGTAAAAGAGTCGAAGGTAGACTTGGCTGACTATAATGGAATGTCAACGGCAGTGGGGCTTTGAATCTTTTCATCATGGTCAAAGGAGGACAAAGATTTTCTGTCTGTTTTTAGCTCTGATAAAAATAAGGGAGTTTCACTAAAACACCCAAAATGGAGGTTGAAATTATAAAAAAACCCAACACCCAAAACACTTTATAAACACACCCAAAAAGTTGACTTTGGGGTTGATTTTGGGTGTGTTTCTATGTTTAAATAGTGCTTGAGTTTTTTTATAAATACATGTTTAGGATTGGGTTTATTTATAAATTTGTATAAAAATAACAGGTTCACTCTCCGTGCACCCAAATTTAATCAGAAACTGAAACACATATAAAAAAAATGAACCATACAAGCTCAACTCAGCAGACCCACTCAGTAAGCGCTAATTAATGGTTTCTTCAGATGTCAGGAATGTGTGGTAGAATTTTTAGGGAGCATTTTTGCTCACCACATTAACTAGAGGTGTATACTCACCACTACTCTTAAAACATAACACCTGTCCCGTAGTTAACCTTAGTTAAGTTTTATGTGAGAATTTAAAAAAAAAAAAAAAAATTTGAAAAATGGCCCACAGCCCAGCACTTCTCTCCTCCTTTCTTTTCTTTTCGATTTTCCTCACCTCCGACCCTTCTCTCTTCTCTCTCCTCTTGCCGGCACTCTCTCCCTCACTTTGTTTCTTGTTCAGCCCTTTTAATGTCCACAGCTAATCTAAGACTGGGTATGCAAAGTGGTGTGGCTTGAGCATGGGATTGAAGAGAAAATTAAACAAACACAGAGTCTACCTTGATGCCCATTACATGAACTTCATCTGGGTATCTCTGTGCCAGGATTTTGAACACTTGTCCGTCCATTTGGGGTGGTCCTGAGGCATTTTTGGATTGATTTATACGACCCAAGCCATGTTTGAGCTTGTAAGCTGAAATGTGCTTGCAGGGTTTGGGTTTGTACATGAAGGTTTTCTAGTCGACATCGTTGATAGAGATTGAGAAAAGAAGCTCTGATTTGTTACAAATCAAAAATAAAAACTGTATTAACAAAGATGGCAATAATAATAATAGATTAATGATAAATAATAAGATTGGCAAAGCAAGATCCAATATTCCAGTAAAGAAAGAGATGGAAGGATTTGTTTTGGAGGATGGTTACGGTGCGAGAGAGGGAGAAATACAGAGAGAGGAGAGAGAAAGGTCCCGTGTGGGGAGGAAAGTGTTGGGCTGTGGGCCATTTTTCAATTTTTTTTTAATTCTCACATAAAACTCAACTAAGGTTAACTATGGGACAGGTGTGATGTTTTAAGGGTAGTGGTGAGCATACACCTCTAGTTAATATGGTGAGCAAAAATGCTCCCGAATTTTTATCAGCAAACCCATAACAATGACATAGGTCCATAATCAAAAAAACATCATTAACATCTTGTCTCTCAAATGAGTGACCAATTGAGCTTGGACTTTCAATTAATCCATCATTAACAAGGGTCCTAATCCTCCCAAAATTCTTGATGTTATGAAGTGAAATATTCTTCTGTCTTGCAAAATTCTTACGACTCATAACACCACGTTTTACTTTGGATGTTATGTCATATGTGAGTCTTTGACATCTGTCCCTTGTCCTCATCAATCTTGTGACTCCTGATCATCATCGGATTAATATCATTATTATTTTCCTTGAACATTTTTCTGTCACACCAAATAGAAACCAGTATAATAAAGAAAAATCAAATTTGTTCCCATTGTTTAAAATGATATCCTTAATCCAATGTTTAAAAACACCTTAATCAGTTTTGTTTACTAGTTCCCTGTGGCTTGGAACCACACGTTTGAATTTCATCAACTTAATTAACATTTCCCATAATCCAAAAGCATACAGCTCAAATTCTGAAGTACCACATGATGGATCAGATAATTTAATCTTGCAGACTTTCATAGTCACTTTGATCCCTTTTTATTTCATCCCTTTCTATTTCTTTTTATTTCTTTCTTCTTTATGGTATTGGTAGGTTCCAAATTACAAAACAAATCCCAAAACAAGAGCAATCGGTTGAATTTTGATACCAATTAGTTGATAGGTAACATCCCAACAACTATTTGGTGCAGAGACAGCAACTCAAGCCCTCACTTCTATTTCTCTCCAACTTTCTTTTACTTGAAGCGACAACAACATGAAGCAAATTCCTCAAAAACAAAAACAATGCACTTTGTGTTTGCCAGTACCAATCATAAGGAAGTTAGGTCTTTTTTATTTATTTCTAATAAATAAACCCCTTTTCTGTAGAAACCAACCTGATCAAATGTTCAAATATAAATTCCCACCTCATATATATTTTACTGATATACTAATTTCTATATAGCTTATGACCAAAACCCACCAAAATTCAGTAACCATTGTACCAAATTTAATAGCTTTAAGCCTTGAAAACCAGCTGGTCTGGTTTAAGCTTTGAAGAAATGGGGATCACAGAAAGATCAAAGAAGAGGGTCCAGCTATGGAAGAAAGCCGTGGTCCATTTTGCTTTGTGTTTTGTCATGGGGTTCTTCACAGGATTTGCTCCAACGGGTAAGGCTTCGATTTTCGCTAGACCTGCTGTGATCTCCTCAAATATATCAGACCACCTATCGCCGCGGCCAGTAGAATCGCCGCAACAAGTAGCAGCAGATGTTAACAGAAGTTTGATAGCAGAGACACCAATTGTGGCAATGACAGCTGCCCCTGCAAGGCATAAAGAGCACACCGAAAACTCGAGATTCAGATCACAGAAAGAAGAAGAACAACAAGAAGAGAAAGAACCCAAGTTGACACCAAGAAGGTTCATAATCATTGTGACTCCAACAAGCACAAAAAACAAATTTAAAAGTGTGCTTTTGAGAAGATTGGCTAACACTATAAGACTGGTTCCTCAGCCATTGTTGTGGATTGTGGTGGAAGCAAAAACAGAATCAAATGGAGAGTCTGAAGCTCTCAGGAAAACAGGGATTATGTATAGGCATTTGGTTTTCAAGGAGAATTTCACAGACACAGAGGCGGAAATGGATCATCAGAGGAACATTGCACTTAAGCACATTGAGCAGCACAAACTTAGTGGGATTGTTCACTTTGCTGGCCTTTCTAATGTCTATGATCTTGGCTTTTTCGACCAGCTCAGAGAAATTGAGTACGTAAATTCTTAATTCCTTCTTTTTTTCCTTTCGTTCAATTAAAATTCTTTAGCTATGAATTTTGCTTAGCTTTATGATCTTACATTCTTTTTTTTTCTTGGACGTAAGAACGTATGGTTCTATGGCTGGAGAGATGGAGGTTTCAAAGTTTTGAGTAGCTTTTAAGAGAAAAAAAAAATGTTTGGGTATGCTTGCCGGAAAAGGGAAAAAAAGTATCCCTATGGACTAACAAGTTGTGATTTGTGAAGTTTTTCGGGACTTTACCAATATACTATGACGTATGTCTAGTTTTCTTATAGTGGGATCTATATATTAACGGTTGACAATTATTCATGTGCATGTCGGACGACTAACTATACTAAGACATATTGCTAAGGAAGGACAATTTGTCTAATCATTTGATTCTGACTCAACTGTATAATTCTCTAGTTTATTAGTTAAGCAAAATGGAAAGATTAACTACATGATTGGTATTAAAAAAATCTTTGATGCAATGGTGAGGTAATAGAAACTTAATGAAAGAAAGAATCTTTGGGTTATTAAACAATGCTTCGTTTGTACATTTGTAGCGTTTTTGGGACATGGCCCATGGCACTACTTGCAGCAAACAGAGAGAAAGTGATCATTGAAGGACCTGTGTGTGATTCTTCACAAGTCATAGGATGGCATCTGAAGAAAATGAACAACCAAACAGATCCAAGACCTCCCATTCACATTTCAAGTTTTGCATTCAATAGTTCAATTCTTTGGGACCCCGAAAGATGGGGTCGCACTTCATCGCTTCAAAGCTCCTCTCAGGTATTCATTCCATCTAAATTTTTATAAGTTTAACAAGTCCATGCATGAGGTTGAATGTCGCATTATCTCGTAGAGTAGTTTTCTATGGTTTCAAATTAGAATCGCTATTTATTTTATATGGAATCGTGCATGCATATAAATAGTATCTTAATTTACAATCTGATAATATAACATGTCTTATAACCGTCGATGTGTTTTCTTATCTTATCTTGTAAAAAGGGGAACTTTTTGACATTTTGTACCTACCCACGCAAACATGTATCATATACTTATGTTTTTAAAAGTCATTATCATAAAGGAAATATGTCATTAATATGGTGGAGCTGGGTCCTGTCCTGTCACACCAACCTGTTAGAATATTTCTTCCCTTTGAATAAATAAAATGGTTCAGTAGAGGTTTGGCAAACCTCCAACCTTTTTTGAACCATTATTTTACCAAGACTTGGATGAAATGTTACGAAAGCTTACTCTTCAATTAATTAATCATGCTTAAAGCAAAGTACAAAAGATTATAAGAACGAATAAGCTATCTAAACCAGTCGTATCTATAAGCATATATTATTGACAAAATTAATTCATTTATTTTTATTATTTTTATTATTTGTTTTTATAGAAGAAAAAAAAAACATTGTGAGCTCATGTTCCTTTGATTGCTGTTTTCCAAACAGAATTCAATCAAATTTGTGAAAGAAGTGGTTCTTGAAGATGAGACAAAACTGAAGGGAATCCCACCAGAAGACTGTTCCAAGATCATGCTTTGGTCTCTTCGTTTTCATGCTGCTGGAGGAGCCACAACCACCAAACACCAAATCAATCAATGAAAAAGGCAAGTTTTAGTCGGTGGGAAAATTACCAAAAGAAAAAAGAAAAGAAAAGAAAATACTCGATCATTTTGTTTTTCTTTGTCGTGTAATTGTTATAATTTTATTCATTCTCTTCTTTAGTTTTGTAATAGGTTTTTACACCTCCAGTACTTTCTTGTTACCAAAAAATATAGCTTAAAACCATTGAATCCATGTTATACGAGTTACCTTTGTTCCAATTTATAGCAACCTGTCAACTTGGATATTCTTTTATTTTAT